AATTATTGTTATCTTCAGTGTGAGCACTTTCAAAATTTTCCAGAATAAGAAAATAATTAGTGCATCATTATACATTTGTTCAATGCAAAATATAACAAAATACTGCATTAAGACCTTTGCAAAGATGTTAACATTTGAACAAGTTTTTTCTCCTTTTGGGCTTCTGCTAATAAATTCAGAGGCATTGACCTTTTAGAGACCAAGTGAATCTCAGGGGTCCATAAATTACCAACAAGAATTCCATGAAGGTAGTGTACCTGTAGGAAAGAAGCCCATGAGGAGCCCATGATACTTTGGTTTCATCCAAAGTACCTAGAAGTAGTAGTGAGGGATAGATCAACTGGTTCTGCTGCTTGTGGAAACTGGTGAATGGGAGGATCCTGAGCTCACCTTCTCTGATGGACATACAAAGACAACATCCACCACCACTAATTCTGTAAATAACCTGAAGAGGCAGAACAGATCTCCCACAGCGAGTTGTAGAGAGAAGACCTCTTTGAAAAGGGTAGGAGGGGCAGGTTCACAGCTGGGAACCAATTCCCCAGGGTGACTAACCACTAACAGGAGGGACATCACAAGCATAGAGGAGCGAGGGGATCAAATCCCACACCAGGCCTGGGAAGAGGAGTCCCCATTACATCTGGCTTTGAAAATCAGTAAGGCTGAATTCCAGGAGATCCAGATAGCTACTGGAAAAGGAGTCTCCATCCTTAAAGGGTCAACACACTAAAAACTCCACCAGGAAATAGCACAGAAGTAGCACTTTGAAAATGCTGGGGTATACATATAGGGCATTTATTAATTGTAGGACATGTGCCAAAGGGGCGTGTATCTGCAGGAGAGTTCTCTAGGAACAAAAGTACTGGTGGGTGCCATTTTGCTTCCCTCCCGTAGCCTGAATAGTTGGATGCATGCAGGAGCTAATTCTAACAGTATCCCTCTCCCTTGGTAGCACTGTATGTCCGGCTGCTGTATTTACCTGTAGACTTCCCACCTTAATAGACACCCATCCAAAACAGCTCTATGCCCGCTACAGCCAGCAGGCAGGCCTGGCCAGGACCAGCAAACTTCCTAGTGACTCCTATCATCGGAAAGGTGATAACCCCACACAACAGCATGTCAATTCCTATAGCCAGCCTCTTTGCTGGCTGTGCAGGAAGCAAGCCCTGCCCTTCACTGTGCCTGCAGCTGTCAGTAGCAGTTAACTGTAGACAGCCAACATGAAGACTGACTCCAACAACTATAAAGCCCATGGCAGCTACAGCTGGGCATCTAACAGCACCAGGAGCAAAACCTGCCCTGTGCGCCTGCAGGAAGAAGCAGATCACTGAAACCAGCTGGAACGAGGGCAGACCAGCATGCCACCCACCAGCATGCCTGTATCAATCACAGCTCATCCACAACAGGAGGGCAAACACAGACTACACAGTGGACACTTATGGCATGCCTGGTTCTGGTGAGCAGGGAACTGAGCTACAGGGCACCTCAGGACTTCTTCCACACAAGGCCACTACTTTCAAGATCAAGACATGTAGCTGACCTATCTAATATAAAGAAACACAGAGAGTCAGACAAAATGAGGAGACAGAAGAAAATGTCTCAAATGAAAAAACAAGACAAAAATCGCCAAAAAAAAAAAAGCTAAATGAAACCAAGACAAGCAATGTGCCTAATAAAGAGTTCAAAGTAATGGTCATAAAGATACTCAACAGAGTTACAAGTGGATGAACTCAGTGGGAACTTCAACCAAGAGATAGAAAATATAAAAAAGAACCAATCAGAGCTGAAGAACTCAGTAACTAAAATGCAAAATACACGAGAGGGAATCAACAGCAGATCAGAGGACACAGAAGAATGGATCAGTGATGCAGAAGACAGGATAATGTAAAGCAACCAAGCTCAATAGCAAAATGGAAAAAGAATAATAAAAAATAATAGGTTAAGGGACCTCTGCAACATCATCGAGTGTAGTAATTTGTATTATAGGGGTTCCAGAAGGGGGGGAGGGGGGCAGAAAACTTATTTCAAGAATACCTGAAAACTTCCCTAATCTAGAGAGGGAAACAGACATCCAGGTCCAGGAAGCGCAGAGAGCCCCAACAAGATGAACCCAAGGAAGTCCACACCAAGACCCATAATTAAAATGGCAAAAAGTAATGATAAAGAATCTTAAAAGCAGCAAAAGAAAAGAGTTCCATATGAGGGAAACCCCATGAGGCTATTAGCTGATTTTTCAGCAGAGACTTTGCAGGCCAGAAGGGAGTGGCATGCTATAATCAAAGTGCTGAAAGGAAAAAAACCTACAACCAAGAATACTCTACTCAGCAAGGCTATTACTCAGAGTAGGAGAGACAGGGTTTTCCAGACAGAAAAAAGTTAAAAAAATTCATCACCACTAAACCAGCCTTATAAGAAATGTTAAAAAGAATCCTTTAAATGGAAAGTAAAGGCTATAACTAAAAGAAGGTGTTGATAGAAAAAAAATTCACTGGTAAAAGCGAACATACAGTAAAGGTAGTAGAGTAATTCTTAGGAAGCCAGTATAAAAGTTGAACTAATGTAATAAAATCAATTATATCTATAAAAATTAGTCAAGGGATACACAAACTAAAAAGATGTAAAATAAGACATCACATACAAAGAACAGGGAATGGGTATTGAAAAGTTAGAGCTTTAGAATGCATTTGAACTTAAGTGACCATCAACTTAACATAGACTGTTGTATGCACAGGATGTGATAAATGAACCCCATGGTAGCCACACATGAAAAAACCATAATAGATACACAAAAGATAAAGAAGAAGGAATCCAAACATAACACTAAAGAAAGCCATCAATCACAAGGGAAGAGAGGAAGAGAAGAAAAAAGGAACAGAGGAAAGCTACAAAACCCAAAAAACAATGAACAAAATGGCAATAAGAATACACCTATCAACAAGTACTTTAAATGTAATTGGACTAAATGCTCCAATGAAAAGACAGTGTGGTGAATGGATTAAAAAATAAGACCCACCTATATGCTGCCCACAAGAGACTCACTTCAGAGTCTGAAAGATGGTGGCAGAGTAGGATGGTGGCAGAGTAGGAGGACCCTAGGATCGCTTCATCCCACAAATACAACTAGATAACTATCAAATCATCCTAAATACTTCAGAAATTGACCTGAAGACTGGCAGAACAAATTCCACAACTAAAGGTAGAGAAGAGGTGACATCAAAGAAGATAGAAGTGTGGAGACACAGCCTGGGAGAGAAATAGATCATGGACACTCTAGTGGGGAGGGAGTCGCAGTTGCAGAGAAGGGCTAGAGACAGACTAGCACACAGGAGAGAGCAAAGAGTGGACACTTGCTTATACCAAACCCCACCACCCCATGCTCCAGAGGTACCACCCTTCCAGTCACAACTGCCTCAGTCCCATTGTGGCAGGCCCCTTCTCCCCTAGAAGCCCAACCCAAACCCCTGCCCACATGTTTCCCAACGCAGGAGTTTTGCAGGGCCTCAGTTCTGGTGGCAGTGGTGACAGGTGTCATATCATAAGCAGACCAGAGCACACCTGGTTAAAACTCAACACTTTCAGGCCAGGGACCAAATACTGCCCATAATAGGCAAAGAGAGCCTCTTCAGACTGGCCTGAAGGATATAGCAGCCAGGACATAACAGCAGAGTGCACATAGCACACACTGGAGACACTCCCTGAAGCACCAGGCCCTGGGGAATAGGAGACACTAGACTACAGGGCACTACAAGACTTCTTCTTCATAAGGCCAGTACCCTCAAGAACAGGAGACATAGCTGACTTTCCTAACACACAGAAGTAGGCACAGAGACTTAGACAAAATGAGAAGACAGAAGGATTTGTCCCAAATGAAAGAACAGGACAAGGCCATGGCCAGAGATTTAGGTGAAACAGATATGAGTAACTTGCCTGACAGAGAATTTAAAGTAATGATCATAAAGATACTCACTGGACTTGAGAAGAGTGAAAGACATCAGTGAGATCATTAACACAGAGATAAGGAATAACATAGATATGAAGGATTCAATAAACAAAATGAGAAACACATTTGATGGAACAAGCAGCAGGCTGGAAAAGCAGAAGAACGAATCAATGACCTAGAAGACAGAGTAATGGAAAGTAATCAAGCTGAACAAAAGAGAAAAAAGAATTATGCAAAATGAGAAAGAATGCACATTCTTTCCAAGTGCACAAGGAACATTCTCCAGAATAGATCACACATTAGCCTACAAAACAAACCTCAACAAATGCCAAGAAGAGTGTAGTCATACCATGCATCTTTTCTGACCATTAACACTATGACACTAGAAGTCAACCACAAGAAAAGATTTGGAAAGACCACAAACATATGGAGGTTAAATAGCATGATACTAAACAATGAATGAGTCAACCAGGAAATAAAAGAAGAAATTTAAAAAGTACACAGAAACAAATGAAAATGAAAACACAACAGTCCAAAACCTTTGGGATGCAGCAAAATTGGTTCTAAAAAGGAAGTTTATAGCAATGCTGGTCACCTCAAGAAACAAGACAAATCTCAAATAAACAACCTAACCTTACACCTAAAGGAGCTAGAAAAAGAACAAACAAAATCTAAAACCAGAAGGAAGGTTATAGTAAATATTAGAGCAGAAATAAATGATAAAGAAACTAAAAAAAAAAACAAAAACAAGAGAACATATCAATGAAACCAGGAGCAGGGTCTTTGGGAAAAAAAAGCAATCAATAAAATTGATAAATCTCTAGCCAGACTTACCAAGAAAAAGAGAAAAGATCAAATAAAACCACAAATAAGAGAGGAGAAATAACAACCAATATCACAGAAGTACAATTATGGGAATATTATGAAAAACTATATGCCAACAAACAGACATCTAGAAGAAATGGATAAATTCCTAGAAACACATAAACTACTAAAACTCAAAAAGGAAGAGAAAGAAAATTGAACAGACTGATAATTAGCAAAGAAAGTGAATCAGTAATAATAAAAAACAAACAAAAAAACCCCCTCCTAACAAACAAAAGTCCAGGACCAGATGGCTTCAGAGGGAATTCTACCAAACATTTAATTAGCAATAACTGTGCCTCGGATAAACTTCATTAGCTATAATATTGCCACTGTGCAAAGCTCTACCAAACATTTAAAGAAGAGTTAATACCTATTCTTTTCAAACTATTCAAAAAAGTAGAAGAGGAAGGAAAACTTCCAAATTCATTCTATGAGGCCAGCATTATCCTGATAACAAAACCAGATAAAGGCACTACTAAAAAAGAGAACTACAGGTAAATATCCCTGATGAACATAGATGCAAAAATGCTCAACAGAAACCAGCAAATTGAATCCAAAAATACATTAAAAAAAATCATTCACCACAGTCAAGTAGGAGTTATTCCTGGGTTGCACGGTGGTTCAGTATTTGCAAATTAATCAATGTGATACATCACATCAATAAGGGAAAGGATAAGAACCATATAATCATTTCAATAGATGCAGGAAAAGCATTTGACAAAGTGCAACATCGATTCATGATAAAAACTTCCACGTAAATATTTCACAGTATATCTTCTCTTTTTTAAAATAATTTGTAAGACTAAAAAAGTGACAGAAATATTTAGAGAAAAGCCAATAAAGTGTACCTTTATTTACTTACTGTACGTTTTAGTCAGAAAAAAAAAAAGACTTCATATCTAGAGACATATACAAACTGAAAGTGAAGGGAGAGAAAAATATATACCATGCAAATGGAAGCAAAAAAAAAAGAAGCAATATCTGTATCAGAAAAAACAGACTTTAAAATAAAGACTGTAGCAAGATGCAAAGAAAGGCACCACTTAATAATGTAAAACAGATAAAAAGATCAATCCAAAAGAAGAATAAAACAATTACAAATACCTATGCACCCAATATAGGAGAACTTAAATATATAAAACAAACACTAACATAGGAAAAATGGACAGTAACACAATAACAGTAGGGGACATGAACACCTCATTTACATCAACAGACAGATCATCTAGACAGAAAATCAATAAGGAAACAAACAAAAATTAATCAACACACACAAAAATCAATCAACACAGTAGACCAGCTGGACTTAACAGATATATACAGAACATTCCAAACAAAAGCAACAGAATACACATATTTTTCAAGTGTAAATGAAACGTTCTCCAAGACAGATCACATGTTAGGCCACAAAATATGTCTCAATAAGTTTGAAAAGTCTGAGATGGTTACCAGAGGGGAGGTGGATGGGAGGATGGTGAAATAGGTGATGGGGATTAAGGAGTGTACTTGCTATAATGAGCACTGGGTGATGTATGGAGTTGTTGAATCACTATACTGTACATCTGAAACTAATACTGTACATTAACTATGTTGGGATTAAAATAAAAAATAAATAAAATGTTTGAAATTATATCAAGCATCTTCTCTGACCACAACACTATGAAACTAGAAATCAATTACAAGAAAAAAAGTGGGAAAACCATAACCACACGAAGGAGCTAAATAACATGACTAAACAACCAATAAATCAACAAAGAAATCAAAGAGAAAATAAAAAAATACATGGGAGACAAATGAAAATGGAAATACAATGGTCCAAAATCTTTGGGATGCAGTGAAAGTAGTTCTAAGAGGGAAATTCATAGTGATACAAGTTTCTACTTCAAGAAACAAATCTCAAATAAACAATCTAACCTGACACCTAAAGGAACTAAAAGAACAAAGCCCAAAGCTAGTACAAAGAAGGAAATAGTAAAGATTAGAGCAGACATAAATGAAACAGACTGAAAAACGAATAGAAAGAATCAGTGAAACTAAGAGCTGGTTTTTTGGGGGGAAAAAATATATATTTAGCCAGACTCATCAAGACAAAAAGAGAACTCAAGTAGCTTCAGAAATGAAGAAGGAGAAATAACAACTGACACCACGGAAATACAAAGAATTGCAAGATAATATTATGAAAAAGTATATGCCAACAAATTGGACAACCTAGAAGAAATGGATAAATTCCTAGAAAAATACAGTCTTCCAAAACTGAATCAAGAATAAATAGAAAATTTGAACAGATCAATTACCTTAACACAATTAAACTGGTAATCAAAACACTCCCAACAAACAAAAGTCCAAGACCAGATGACTTTACAGGTGAATTCTATCAAGCATTTTTTTTTCCCTATCAAGCATTTAAAGAAGAGTTAATACCTATTCTTCTCAAACCATTTCAAAAACAGAAGAGGAAGGAAATCTTCCAAATTTACTCTACAAGGTCAGCATTACCCTGACACCAACAAAGACACTACAAAAAAAGAAAACTACAGGCCAGTATCTCTGATGACCACAAACGTACAAATCCTCAACAAAATATTAGCAAACTGAATTCAGTGACACATTAAAAGGATCATGCACCACAATCAGTGGAATTTATTCCAGGATGCAAAGGTGATTTAATATTTGCAAATCAATGTGAAACTTCACTCTAATAAAAGGAAGTATAAAAACCATATGATCATCTCAACAGATGCAGAAAAAGTATTTGACAAAATTCAGCATCCATTCAGGATAAAAACTCTCCCAACAAAATGGGTTTAGAGGGAACATACTTCAACATAATAAAGGGCATATATGACAAACCCAAGCTAATACCATACTCAATGGTGAAAAATCCATAGTTTTTCCCCTAAGATCAGGAACAGGACAAGTATGCCCACTCACCACTTTCATTCAACATAGTACTGGAAGTGCTAGCAACAGCAATCAAACAAGAAATAAAAGGTATCCATGGGGTGCTTGGGTGGCTCAGCTGGTTAAGTTGGTCTGACTCTTTTTAATTTTAATTTTTTTTTTTTTTAAGATTTTATTTATTTGCGAGAGAGAGAATGAGAGACAGAGAGCATGAGAGGGAGGAGGGTCAGAGGGAGAAGCAGACTCCCTGCTGAGCAGGGAGCCCAATGCGGGACTCGATCTCGGGACTCCAGGATCATGACCTGAGCCGAAGGCAGTCGCTTAACCAACTGAGCCACCCAGGCGCCCAAGTCGGTCTGACTCTTGATTTTGGCTCAGGTCATGATCTCAGGGCCGTGGGATCGAGCCCACAAGTGCCCATGGAGCCTGCTTGGGATTCTCTCCCTTTCCCCCACACCCCCTAACTCCTGTGCATTCTCTCTCTCTAAAAGAAAAAAAGAAATAAAAAGTATCCAGATTGGTAAGGAAGAAGTAAAACTGTCACTATTTCCAGTGACATATATATATTTCCCTATATAGGAAATCCTAAAGACTCCACCAAGAAACTATTTGAATAAATGAATTTAGTAAAGTTGCAGGATACAAAATGTTGCAGAAATCTGCTACATTTCTATACACTAAGAACAAAGTAGCAAAAAGAGAAATTAAGAAGACAATCCCATCTGCAATTGCACCTGAAAGAAATTATCTAGGAATAAACTTAATCAAGAAGGTGAAAGAGCTATACTTTAAAAACTATAAGACGTGGGCGCCTGGGTGGCTCAGTCATTAAGCGTCTGTCTTCAGCTCGGGTCATGGTCCCAGGGTCCTGGGATCAAGTCCCACATCGGGCTCCCTCCTTGGGGGGCAGCCTGCTTCTCCCTCTCCCACTCCCGCTACTTGTGTTCCTGCTCTCGCTATCTCTGTCTCTGTCAAATAAATAAATAAAATCTTTAAAAATAAAATAAAATAAAAAATAAATAAATAAAAACTATAAGACACTGATGAAAGAAATGGAAGACAATACAAATAAATGGAAAGATAGCCCATGCTCGCAGATTGGAAGAATTAATATTGTTACAATGTCCACACTACCCAAATCAATCTATAGATTCAACGCAATCCCTGTTAAAATACCAATAGTATTTTTCACAGAACTAGAACAAATAATCCTGATTCATATGGAACCACAAAGACCCTGAAGAGCCAAAGCAATCTTGAGAAAGAACAAAATTTGAAATATCACAACTCTGGATTTTAAGATATACTACAAAGCTACGGTAATCAAAACAGTATGGTACTGGGACAAAAACAGATACAAAGATCAATGGAACAGAATAGAGAGCCCAGAAATAAGCCCACACTTAAATGGTCAATTAATCTACAACAGAGGAGGCAAGAATATGCAAGGGGGAAAAGACAGTCTCTGCAAAATGGTGCTGGGAAAGCTGGAGAGCTACATGCCAAAGAATAAAACTGAACCAGTTTCTCATACCACACACAAACATAAACTCAAAGACCTAAATGTGAGACCTGAAACCATAAACTCCTAGAAGAAAACACAGGCAGTTATCTCTTGGACACTGGCCTTAGCAACATCTTTATAGATATGTCTCCTTAGGTAAGGGAAACAAAAGCAAAAATAAATTATTGGGACTACACCAAAATAAAAAGCTTCTGCACAGCAAAGGAAACAATCAACAGAACAAAAAGGCAACCTACTGATGGGAGAAGAGATTTGCAAATAATCCAATATAAAGAATTTATACAACTCAATACTAATAAAACAAATAATCCTATTAAAAAATGGGTAGAGAACTTGAATAGACATTTTTCTAAGCCAGACAATGGCCAACAGGTACATGAAAAGATGTTCAACATCACTAATTATCAGGGAAATGCAAATCAAAACCACAAGGAATTATCACCTCACACCTGTCAGAATGGCTAGAATCAAAAAGATAAGAAATAACAAGTTTTGTCAAGGATGTGGAGAGAAAAAAGCACCCTTGTGAATTGTTCCAACCACTGTGGAAAACAGCATGGAAGTTCCTCAAAAAAATAAAAATTGAAATAACATATAATCCAGTAAGTCCACTACTGGGTATTTATCCAAAGGAAACTAAAACACTAATTTGAAAAGATACATGTACCTCAAAACAAACAAAAAGAAGTTATATGTACCTTTGTTTATTGCAGCATTATTTAAAATAGCCAAGATATGGAAGCATATGGAAGCAACCTAAAGTATCCATCAATAGATAAATGGATAAAGATGTTGTATGTGTCAACATATATGTGTGTACACACACACAACAGAATATTACTCAGCCACAAAAAGGAGTGAGATCTTACTATTTTTGACAATATGGATGGACCTAGGGGATACAATGCTAAGTCA